AAGAGAGGATGTTGGACTCGGCCTCTGACTAAATACCTTTGCTTAGGGGCCAGTACCGCACATGTGGTATTTGTGGAGTGGGGGTTATCCAACGACCATCCATGGGGTGAAATTGAGTAAGTCCCTGAGGTTGAAGGCATCAGAAATCTGTGATCACAGTGCCACAGTAAGCGTGGCTATATGCAGTGAGCACACACGTGTGTGGATTGTTCGATGGTGCAGTAAGCACACTTGTGTGTGGATTGGAATGGAATGTTGACATATGTTATTTTATGCCTGTTGGATGTATGATTTGAATATTGTTGGAAGGGTGTGTAATGTGTGAAGTGAGTCTCTGTGCTTGTGCGTGATAATGTAGAGTACTTACTCTTACATTTATTTTTCAGGTGAGCAAGACGATCAACACCGGACTCAGTGAAGGAATGAATGATACTGTTATAAGACTTAAATTATTTATTTTTGAAAATATGATGTATTTGAATTGGTCTTGTATCATTTGATAAAAACTTGTAATCCATTCTTATTTTGAAATACTTGATGGAATCATGTGTTGGGAATTATTTAAATGAAAATTTATTATTATTCCCAATTTTGTAAAAAAATTTTATTTGAAAAATTAAATTAAAATGTTACAGAATGAGTTGATCCAGTCAAATGAACAAGGTTGCAATGCTTGAAACACTAGTTTGAATTGATGGAGCAAAGTAGAGAAGAAAGCATTCGTGGTTATTTTTCACAAATGGATAAACTTGTCAACGAAATGAAAAAAAATAGTGATTATATAAAAGAGAAAGAAATCATGGAGAAAGTTCTACGTACGTTGTCCACTCATTTTGATTACGTAGTAACAACTATTGAAGAAGCAAAAGATCTTAACATAATGACTCTAAATGATTTGCAAGCATCTTTAAAGTCATGAGAGATACAGATGAACAAGAAATCAAGTGGCACGACTGAGCAAGAATTAAAGGCTCAAACAAATGTAAAGAGTGAGGGATTTGTGCAAAGAAAGGTAAACCAACATCAAAGAGGTCAAAACTTTAAAGGAAAAGGGATGAATCCTCAATTTAACTCAAGCTAAGGCGCACAAGGTAATGGTTCTTTTCAAAATAAATCTAATATTCAATGATATAAATGCAAGAAGTTCAGTCTCAATGCAAATCTCATTGGCAAGCTGGGAAGGTATATTATATTCAAGTTCTAACTGTAACGTCTTATATTTCTTTTCTCAATATATAATAAATTTTCATAAAAAGTTAAATAGTAGAGTAATTTTATTTTATTTTCTTTCAAAAACTCTCTAAATAGAAACAGACATGGAAATGATATAAGGTTCATAGAGTAAAATTTCATTAATTCATAAGTACTTTAGAAAAAACAAAGATTCTAGAATTTTCATCAGCAATAAAAAGAAATAGTAGTTTTACAACTGTTTCAAAAGAATGCTATAGAACTGAAAATATTCATTACATAACTCAAAATAACTAAGTACTATAGCAGTTCTCATCCATCCATGCACTGTGAGCCTGGTACTATTCGTCCTGATTTCCTAAAAAATGTTGTGTAAGGGTGAGTCTCTACCCTACCACTCATACATAACACATATTCATCACACACATCTTATCACGATTAAAGAAAACATCATGGTATTACATATCACAGTGTCATATATAGCATATTCTCATCTCAACACAGATTATATTCCATAGATTCACAATTTTTTTTACTTTCATCCGCGCTTACCGCGCCCTGTGGCCACAGTTATCCGATGCCTCTATCTCGAGGTCTTACACATCCATGTAAATAGTTGCTGGATGGCCCAATGCAATACGGATACAACACATGCAATAGACGGCCCCTTAGCAAAGGTAATGGTCAGGAGTCAAGTCGAGAAATGAGTGTGGCCATGTGGTGCATTCGAACACAATATTCCGTGCACAATCCCGAATGTCACTCACCACCCTGCATTTCCCCAAGATATCCCATATTGTCTCCATCTTCCACTTCCCTAGTGTATCTCTGTAACTATTTACATCATATCTTTTTCCATCTCATACTCTTTCGAGCATATTCACATGTTCACATATGCCATTTATCATGTTTACACATATTTTTCATTATATTTTCACATACTTTTCATCATATACATCAAACCATGGCATATTCACAATACACATCATTTTTACATAAAACACAATATATTCAAACATGAAACATCCATCTCTTCGTATATTTTATATCACAAAATCATAAAATCATATCAACCATTCTCAATATACCTTATCATGCCCTATTTGAACATAATATCACAATTTCACCATGTACTCATCATAAAATCACATAAACAGCTAATTATTCTCACTTTTCACTGATTATTTCTCATAAAACAGGGATTATTCCACATATAATCACATACATGACAAGATCTATGAGAATACAAGTAATAAACATAACAAAATGATAAAGTAGAGCCCCCTTACCTCAAAACAGAGCTTTTGCAAGGATTTAACCGAAGATTTTTACTCTAGAACGGAGTTTTTCCTAAGAACATCATGAATATCTATAAGAAAAAGAAGAAGAAGAGAAATGAATGGTAAATCTAACTTCAAACTTAGAGAAACTTACTTGAAATCCTTTAGAACGGACGTAGAATCACAGATATGAAGAGAAATTTAAGTTTAGGAGGTTTAGTATGGGAGAAAATGGCCAGATATGACCTTAGAACCTTCGAGAACCTTGGGTGGGAATGAAAATTTCATGTGAAGCCCCCTCTATTTATAGAATTTTTTTTGAAGATGTCAGCGTCAATGTGATGTAAGCGATGATGTCAGCATGATGCAAGCGATGACATTAGCATGATGTCAACGTGATGTAAGCGATGATGTAAGCGATGATATCAGCGTGAGATCACCGATGACATAAGCGATGATGTCAGCATGAGGTCAGTGATGATGTAAGCGATGATGTCACCGATGACATCAACGTTATGTCACTGTTGACATTAGGGGTTACTGTACATACACGGTTTCTTTCTGCTCATAAAGTACTACAGATTTTTCTCATTAATATACTACAGGCATGACACAAAGCATAGGATGTTACACTAACAAGCCGAAACTAATTGGATACATTGATAGTGATTGGGTTGGAGAAACTGAAACTCAAAAAAGCACTTTAGGTTATATATTTTATCTTGGTACAGGTGTATTTTCTTGGTCATCCAAAAAATAAAAAATTGTTGCTTTCTCAACGACAGAAGCAAAATATATTGCAGAAACAAATTATGCTACTCAAGCAATTTGGTTGCGAAAACTATTAAGTGAATTTCAACATCAACAAGATGGTCCAACAAAAATATTTTGTGACAATAAATCAATTGCATTGACAAAGAATCCAGTCTTTCATGGTCGCAGCAAACATATTGATATCAAGCATCATTACATTCGTGTCTTGATCAAAGATGGAGAAATTATGGTGAAATATTGTAATACAAAAAATCAAATTACAACTCAAAGTAAATTTGTTCTTAAAGTTAAAGAATATGCTTGGGATGATTAAGTCAAATTAAGGGAAGATGTTAGAAATTAAACTTGAAGACAAATCTAAATTAAACATTTCATTATTAAGAAGACAAATTTAAATTGAACTCTTCTTCATCTTAAAAGAAGATAAGTCCAAATTGAACTCTTTAACATCATAAAAGAAAATAAATTCAATTTTAAGTTGTTTGCTTAATTATTAAACAAGATGGCCTCTTCCAAACTCTACAAATAGGGGATACTATACAATATGAAGTTTCATTGTGAAATAGTTCATTACTTAGCTTTTGTTGTTTGAAAGAAATTTTAACGAGTTTTCTTGTAATTTTTAGTTTTTTTAGAGTATAATTAGCTATTAGCAAAGATAAAGTTCTATTGAATATATTAATTTTCTAATAAATAATTATTCCTTGAATATTCATTTTTGTCCTAACAATGATATTTTAACTAAATAATTTATTTTAATTGTCAATAATTAAATTTGCTTGAAACATGAACATGCCTTGAAAAAACAAGAATTTTTATTCCAAAATAGACACTAACAGAAATGGTGAGAATTTAGGCATAGTTTTATAAATATTATTCATGTTATTATTTAATTAAAATTTTATTTTAATAATAGATATTGATATTTAATATTAATATACTAAACTTTAATATTATTTTTTATCATATAAACTATTGAAATTAAAATAAAATTTTAATTCTAATTAAAATAACACTAACAAATACGATACTTATAATACTTCAGCTAATTTTTCATTTTCTTCTGCGGACTTTTCCCCCTCTAAATCCCCGTTTACAGTATCATAATGTATGATGTGACTTTGTTCTGACGCCGCAGCTCTACTTTACTGCAACTTAGCCTACAGATGCTGATCAATATTTTTAAAATATTAAGTAATAAATTATAAATAAAATTTTAATATTACATTTTTTATAATTATAATATTTAAAATTTTAAAAAACAATTACTATTAGTTAAAATGATTTAATATACATATATTCATGTAATGATAGTAATTATCTAGAAGTGACGTATAACTTTTATATATATATATATATATATATATATAATTATATCTTTAACAAGTAGCGGTAAGAAAAAAAATAGAAATTAGTTTTAAATTTTTTTAAAATTAAACTATATTTTTGAAAAAATTAAATTAATGAATCATAATTATAAAAATAGTAATAGAAATAAATATTAGTAATCATACACTTTTAACAGAAGTATTTTGTTTTGTTTTTTTTTGTCTGAGTTGTCGTTTCTCCTTCTTTTGTCAAAGGACCCTTATTTGTAAGGGTCAAAGGTAAAAATAGTCATTTTAATATTCTACTGTTTTCACGATTTCCCGTTTCCATTTCTTAATCTCTTTCTTTGGTTAAAAGACAAAACAACAGAAAGGGTCGTGACTACTGCAACTGTTCTACATCACACTTTCCTCTGTAGTGTTTATTTTTATTTTGTTTTTTGGGGTCTTCCCGGGCGGTTTCTTCTTCAAAGGTTTGCTCTTTTTTCATGCTGTTTCTGATTTTTCATCTTTGTTTAACTACACATCGAATGTTCCTTGGGAAAGTTTTGTCCTTTGAAAATGATCACTGTGCATGAAGTTTGCTGCAAGTACTGTGATTGTTTCTCAAACATCTCTTATTTCTAGCATTTTTTTTCTGTGATTGTTTAACTGCAAGCTTTTTCGGTTGCTTCTTACTTCTTTCTGAGTTCAAGTTATGTTAAAATACCTACCAATTTTTTTTTTTGTATTTTTTACTCTCTTTTTTCATTATATTATACTATCCTGTTACTTTTTCCTTTTCTATTTCTTAACCTCTCAAGTTAACACCACAACTATTTTCTTTGTACCACCCAGTTTTCGTCATTTTGAATGCTTGCCAGTTATGAATTTGTTGTCTTCATGCCATTCCATTATTCCTATTGATGTTGTTGTAGAGTTTTCTTTTTCTCTTTTATTGTTATTTACACTTCTGAGTCCCTAATTTTGAACTCTTCTTTTTGAATAGTATCCCTTCCATTTTACATTATTAAAAATACTTACCAGGCATGAAATCTGAAATCTTTGTTTTCATGGGTTTCCATTTTATTTTACTTTTTCTTTTTAAAATTTTGTATAGTATGTTAGTGTGATTTCTTTTTAATTTATACCACTTACTTTCTACGTTGTATACACTTTTTGATACACTAGTCATTGTACCGTTGAAAGGTATTGCTAAATCGACACTATTTGTATGTAGGATGTTTAGAAATGGATGCTTCAAAATCCTTTGGAAAAAAGCATGAAGAATGGTCCCCTGCTGCACCATCCATTATTTGTCATGAGCCACCTTCTTCATCCTCTTCATATGGCAAGAAATGGAAGGAAGTCCTTGTGAAACGCAGGAAGGTGAAAAAAGCATTGGAGACATTTCATAGTTTGTTTTGCAAACTAATGTGTAAACATAAAGAAGACCAAACTGGGGATTTGAAAGCAAATACAAAAATGCTGATGGAAGCAGCAATGTTGATGAAAAGCAAGCATCAATGGGAGAACACTCAAAAGCGTGTGGGGCATGTAATAGGAATTGATATTGGCGATCAGTTTCAATACAGGGCTGAACTCAATGTCATTGGCCTCCATAGGCAGTTTTCAAGTGGTATTGATTATATGGGAATAGGAAGGAACTCATTGGCCACGAGCATTGTCGTGACTAATCGTTACGATAATGCTAGAAAGTCTAATGGTTCCTTGGTCTACATTGGCCATGGGGGAAATCCTAATGTAAGCAATACTGTTTTGCTTCAAGATCAAAAATTGGAAGGGGGGAATTTGGCTTTGAAGAATAGCATGGATGCTAAAAGTCCTGTGAGGGTTATATTGAAAGTCTGTGGAAAATCTGAGGATATGGTCACTATGGTTAAAAGCAGTTCTCACTGCTCATTTTTTTATGATGGATTGTATTTAGTGGAGAAGATGACACAAGAAAGAGGAAAATTTGGAAAACTTGTGTTCAAGTTTACATTGAATAGAATTTTGGAACAACCTAGAACTTGTGTTGCCATTAAGGATGATATTACGGATGATGATAACAATTCAGGACAATATGCTTGTTTTACTGCAAGAAAGGGACAAAAACCTAGGGCTTGTGGTGTCCAAAAGGATGTTGTTCGGATGAATGATGTTTCAAAAGGGAAAGAAAAGTTTCCTATTCGGATGGTGACATCAATGGATTGTGTTCAGATACCCTCACACTTTGATTACATAGTCAATAACATTTATTCAGAGGGTTTCAAGCAGCCAATTCTATGTGGCTGCGATTGTACAAATGGATGTGTGGACTATGAGAAATGTCCTTGCATTGTTAGGAATGGTGGAAGAATGCCGTATGACTGTAATAAAAGATTTGCTTCTCCTATGAAGTCATCCCTTATATATGAGTGTGGCCCTTCTTGCAACTGTTCCTCATCTTGCATCAACCGTGTCAGTCAGCATGGTATTCAGTTTCAACTAGAAATCTTCATGACAGAATCGAAAGGTTGGGGTGTTAGAACACGCTCTTTCATTTCCTCTGGAAGCTTTGTTTGTGAGTACATTGGAGAAGTCCATAACAATAGAGAAGCTGGATCAAGGCCAGATGTTGATGAACACATATTTAAGATGGGTATGTTTATGACGGATATCTTCTTGTGTTTGGACTTCATTTAACAGTTGCAAGTTTGTTTTTCAGGTTTTGGCAAGGGCTTCATTGATGCAACAAGGCGTGGAAACATTGGAAGATTTATAAATCATAGTTGTTCTCCTAATCTCTGTGTCAAAGATGTTATGTATGATCACAATGATAAGAGCCTTCCACACAAAATACTTTTTGCTGTGAAGGACATACCTGCTGGTAGAGAGCTGAGCTATGATTATAATGGCTGCAAGGGAAAATTTATCAAGGTTAGGAGCAATATTTGCCACTGTGGATCACGGGAATGCAATGGACAGATCTATGTTTGAGGTATATATTTTAAATTGTTTGAAGATTTAGTCCTTTTTGCTTATTGTGATAGTTTGGCTATAACTGCAGTATAGTGCATTGTGAAAAATAACGTTTTGAGGCAGGTACTATATTATATGCATTCAAATCATTATTTGGCTATAACCTAAAGTTGTGATAGTTTTGCTTACACTATGATATCTAATTTGAAGATTGTTGATAATTTCTTCCCATGTATAACTGTTATTGAAATAGTGAGAGTCATATCTTGACAGATCTATTATCTTAACAATTTTTCAGTGCAGCGAAATGAAACGAGCTGACTGAGGAATTTGGAATCTTAAAAATTGACGTCTGGCAAAATTTGATTTGTGTAGGATGTGAATCTCCTTTAAATTTTGTAATTGTTTTTGTTAGGGATGGGTATCTTTTTGACAGGGTCTTGCATTGCATCACATTTCATTGACTCTAACTCTTCTATAAGGATTAATTTAATCCTTGTAGAAGACTATATAGCTAGATATGATGATGTACTTATTTGCAAGAATCATTTTTCTAGCAAGTATTCGGCCGTTCAATCAAGTGTAACCTTAGGACTCAAAAGATGTTTAGAGACGGTATTGTTGGGTCTTATCCAACATTGTTAAAAAGATTTTTAATTCACTTGATAGTGGTTTTTTTTTTGGTATGTTATGTTATATTGATTGTTTTAAATTTTATATTTTAATGTCATTATATTGGCTTTTAATGTTTATAGAGAGAGAGAGAGAGAGAGAGAGACAAGTTTGAATTAGCTTTTATTTTGATGTACATTCTCATTGTAATTTTTTTTAATATCATTTGAGCTTGGTTTGATATCTTGTCTTTATGAGTATGACTATTAATAATTTTGTGAGACAATTTTTAATATTGGGTGTGTTTGGATAAATATTTATTTAAGCACTTATTTATTAATTTAACAAGGAAATTTATTGGATTGAGCTTAAAAATAACTTATTTTGATAAGCTATACTGAGAATTTTATTGTATACGAGTTAGAAGTTGTTTTTCATATATTCATAAAATTTTTCAAATAGGCCTATTAAATTGAAATTTTTACTTTTGAGAGTGAATACTTCTTTTATTTACTATTTTAAAATATTATTACTTGTATTGAATATGTATTTGAGTAAATATTGAGTAAATAACTTTAATAACGTTTATTCAACAAGTTTTTATCACATGAAGATTTATGAAATAAATTTTATCTTGAAATTTATTATAATGAGTTAAGAGTTTAATAAAATAAATTAAAAAGAGCTTATAAATATTTCTTTAGTCAATTTTAATTTATTTGATTGACAATTCTGAAATTTTTCTTACATAAAAAATTTAAGCTTCTCAATTATTTTCTCAAATTTTCGTCATTTTTAAAAGTATTATAAAAATGTTATGACATATTACTGGTGGTTATGGGTTGTGATAATCTTAAATAATCTTGAGTCTTGTGTCTTATTTTCGCACAAGGGTTCAAGTTACTGATGTAAATTTATTTACAGCATTGGAACACAGTTGACAGCACTCAGGTTATTGGCTCGATCTCTTGTCACGGGGGCACCCGAGAAACAAGATTTCATGGTTTGAATTTTTTGTTTACTATGGTATGTTTGGGAATTGAATTTTGGAAAAGAGGGGAGGGAAATATTTTATTTTTTTAATTTAAGAGTTATATAGTGTTTGTAAAAAGTAAATAAAAGATTAACACATTAAATTATGTTAATATATTATTTTATTTTTTATTTATAAAAATTATAAAATTAAAGAATGTTAATTAGAAAAAAAAAATCCCATTCACTTTTGGAATATGAAGCAAATAGAAAAAGGCTGAGGAAAGAACTTGTGATTTTAAAATTTAAGATAAACCCTGAATTTTATTCTCTCTCATTGTATGTGTCTGTGATGTGGCTAGGTTCTTCTACCGCAGGTTCTACTCTACTACTCTAGTGCTTTTAACCTTAGCCTGTCACAATAGTGAAAGTTTTTAAGATGTTAAATAATTGCTAACTTGACTATTATATGTCTAACAAATTAAAGCTATGTCATGTGTACTAACTAAGATCATATATATTCAAAAAGTTTTACACAAACAACGTAAAATAAGATTTTCATGAGGGTGTTAAATTAAATATTATTTTCATATCTCTCCCAAGTCAATTGTTGATGTACTTTTTCGATTACGTGTATAATGAGTTGGTACATGTAGCAAAATTTAGGTAGATTTATATCTCTTAATCAAGTACTCAATTACCTAATGATAAATTAACGACAAAGAATAAAAAAGAAGCCAAAGTTTCAAAAAATTGAGTGTATATATATATAAGATTTTACAGGAAGTAAAAATAAAAATTGCTATATTTGAGTCTTTTATAAGCATTTACTTAATTTCTTAAGTAATTGTATGATTTCTTAAATATTTCTTAAAACACAATTGGTCTTCCGACTAGAAAAACAGAGTACGAATTATTAACTTGTTGGGCTTAACTCAGAACTTAAGGATGTTTGTAGTTTTTGTTTAAAATTGTTTGAAATAATATTAAAATTAAAGCAAACCAAATTAATCTTTTTTCAGTTTGAATTAAATGATCTTTTAATTTTTGTCTTATTATTTTATATTTTAAGAGACAACATTTCTTAAATAAAAAAATTAAATATATAATAAGTTTGAAAAAATTAGTAAAAGTATTAATTCTCATTATAAATCACAATTTAGTCAAAATTACAAATCATGTGTTAAAATAATTTCAACTTTCTTTTAGAAGAAAAATATTTAATAAAGTATATTTTAGGTTAAGATAATAGAAAAATAAAAGAAATTTATATCTTTTCCCAAAACTCTTCTCAAATAATTCTTGAGAGCACTTTATGCATCAAAACGTTACTTTTCCTGTGATTCACTTGTTCCATAGGAGCTCAACAGGAGGGAGCGAGTTTCTTTCTTTCTTGCGATGTTTCTACTCCAGAACTAGGTCTATAAGAAAGGTATAAGAGGGGAAATTTTTTTAACTATAACTATTTTTATGCATTCCATTAATTTAGCCTGTGGGAGAGAGGAGGTTGTCTAAGTAACTAGCAACATAAGTATCTTATATGGCACTTAACATCACACATAAACAAGTTTGTTAATGTTAATGTTAACGTTAGTGTTATGTAACTGATGTTAAGATGGAGAACAAAATCACTTGTAGAATACACTTTTAGATATATCAATTTTTTTTTTGTTAGGGGATTAAAATGAGGATCCTTTGACACTCTTTAGGAGCTTCAATGTCGATTTTCTGATCACATAAATAAATGGCACTTAACGTGTTAAGTGAGAAAATCCATTAATCTTAAACAATTAATATTAATATTAGGACCAAAATAATTAATAAAGTAAATTTTTAGAAATATTTTTATAAATTTATTTTTTTAAGAATTAAAACGATTGATCTATAGCTTTTAGATTGTGTTTGGATAGGATATTTTAAAGTTCCTATAATTTATGTATTTGGATTGTAAAAAAAAATAATTTTAAAATAGTACAGAATTTTAATTAAATAATTTTTATGTCAAATTGAAATAATTTTAATTGACTTGCTTAAAGAGAGAATTTAAAATTCTCAATATTATACTTAACTCTCATTTTAAGTATTTTTAATTATTGTTTTGATGCAAACCTGTAAAAATAAGCAAGGAAAAGAGGAAAAGAAGCTGATATTACTTGATATAAAAAGAAAAAGATAAGTAGAATGAGTACTACTGTTCAGAGCTATGCTCCTACGGAGAGCTAATATCCTCCCTCCATAACTAATTTTTTAATTTTCAGACAAGATACCCTTTTACACACCAACCCCACTACTATAATGGACTCCCTCCTTAGCCGCTTGCTCTCTCTCTGCCATGTGACACCCTCTTTGTCTATACATTTCTTCTTTCTTTTAGTGTAAACCCTCCATAATGTGGGCTCTGTCCCATTTGAGCCCATATCCTTACCCGTAGCCCTAACATTGCCTCCTGCTTAAAATACAAACTTGTCCTTAAGTTTAAATTCAAGAAATTGACTATTTATAGAAAACTCTTCCTCCCATGTAAGCTTCATCAACATGCTTTACCTTCCATTGAATCAACATTTGACTAACAGATTCTCCATCTTTGTCCACTGTTCTAGTTGCTAGGACCGCTTGGGCTCTTGTCGGTTTTCCGTATCACTCTCCATACCTTGAGGCAGCTCTTCCTCCACCTTATAATTGCCAACAACTTTCTTCGACAAGGAAACATGGAAAACTGGATGAGTTCTAGTTGATTCTAGTAAGTGGAGTTTGTAAGCCATAGCTCCTACCTTGTCCACTACTTGAAACATATCATAATATCGAGGGGCCAATTTAGGATTGATTTTAGCCGTTACTGTTAGTTGCCCATGTGGTCGAAGTTTTAGAAAAAACCACTCTCCTATCTCAAAATTGTGCTCTGTTTGTTTATGATCGGCTTGAGCCTTCATTTGACATTGAGCTCTTTGCAAATGGTACTTCAGTTGTTTGAGAGCTTCATCCCTATCCATCAAATCACATTGCACTGCCTCAACACGTATTTCTCCTGGAAAAAAATGGATAATTGTAGGTGGGGATCTTCCATATACAATTTCAAATGGTGTAGTCCCTGTGGTGGCATGAAATATTGTATTATACAAGTATTCAGCCCATGGTAGCCAATGCACCCAGGTCTTTGGTTGATTAGCAATGAAACATTGTAAAAAAGTTTCCAAGCATCGATTGATAATTTCTGTTTCACCATTTGTTTGTGGGTGGTAAGTCGTGCTCATTTTAAGATGAGTTCCTTGCAACTTGAATAACTCTCCAAAAGTTACTAACAAAAATTGGGTCTCTATCAGTAATGATAGAAGTTGGAACCCTGTGTACCACTTCTTTAGTGAAATTCTCAGCTAACACTCTCGCTGTGTACGGATGTTTCAGGGCAATGAAGTGGCTGTATTTTGACAGCCTATCAATAATTACCCAAATAGTTTCAAAACCCTTAAACTTCGGAAGGTCGGTAATGAAATTCATGGAAATATCTTCCCAAATTCTATCAGGTATAGGCAGAGGTTGTAATAAACCACCAGGAGCTGCAGCTAAATACTTCTGTTGTTGGCAAATGTCACACTCTTTCACAAACTGTTGGATACATCCCTTCATCTCAAACCAATACAAATTGGCTGCTACATGCCTACATGTCCTGAAAAATCCCGAATGAACTCCTTAAGGAGTGGAATGAAACTCCCTTAATAGTTCTAGAATCCAGGGAGAATTTTCAGAAATAACCAATCTCC